TATATATATATAAATCAAAATGATTAATACCTAGAAATATAAGGCAATATCATTTCCATTGAGTAATTTGGCAAAATATATATCTTTGACCTGCCAAATCCACATCTAGAAATCCTTATCCAAAGGCAATATTCAGTAAGTGTTCAAAGATACTCAATGGAGAGATGCTTATAAATAAACAAGTATTTAAGAGTTGCCTAAATAATGAAAACAACGTTTAACACCTACTACAGGCAGACATACTTAGCGTTTAATGTAAATGTCTCCATCGACCCTCATGACACCTTCTCAGGCAAGGAGCCTTTAGGAAAGGGGAGCAGGGTGTCAAAAGGTTAAGTAATTTGAGCAAGTCACAAAGCTAAGTGGGGAGGGAATGGTGGGGCTGTGACCATCACATGTCTTGGTATTTTCTGAAGGCTCTGCATCAATGTTCTTAATCAAAATAAATAAACCTCTATTTAGAACCATGAAATTAACTTGAATTTTCTGGCAAGGAAATTAATTTAATAGTGTTTTTAATGTAGCTGTTTTAAGGCCCATTTATTTAAAATAGAACAAAATCGCATGCTGAAGCTTTACTGACCATTAAACATAACATGGACTTTCTGATTTGAAAGACAACTTGAATTGCCCTAATTAAGTCAGCCAAACCACTTCTGTGGTACCTGCCTGTGTTACTCTCAAGCCCAAATATGGAAGGGAAAAAATAGAAAGTTCCCTATACGTTCTTATTTTCGTATGACCAACATTTGCAGTGTCCTTTTTAGGCTAAAATAACATGGTTGGAAGCCTTAGCTGAATACAGTTGGCTGTTTCACTTGCTTTCATGTGGAATTCAGCATGTGACAACATTTGGATCCCTGAAGATGCCCATAAAATTCCTAAGTTGCTCTGAGAAAGTCTCAGTTTAAAATCCTTACACTCTTCAGCTCTGGCACTAAGCAACAATCTCAATCTTAAAGAAACTATTCTACAAAAGCAACTGAAGACATTTTTCAGATACATGGATTGTTACAAATCCCAAAGACCCATGCAAATGTCATTTAAAACTTAAGGTAGTCTATCAAGTGTGGGCAGACAGCTGCTGCTCCTGAATTGTTTTATACCCACAAAATAATTTGTGGTAATCCTGGGTCTTGCAAGACTGTCAAACGCTAAAAAACCCCAAACTCAGGGGAAACCAGGCCTGGATTAAATCCTCACTACCAATGCCAGCTGGTGCTGAGTCGATTCCAATTCATGGTGACTCCAAGTGGATCAGAGTTGAACTGGTCTCCACAAGGTTTCCAATGGCTGATTTTGCAGAAGTTGATTGAGGGGCCTTTCTTCTGAAGTGCCTCTGGGTGGAGTCCAATCTCCAACCTTCTAGTTAAGAGCATATTAAGGCAGCACTCAAAACGGCCCTGGGTAAGAGAGCTTAAGTTAGGCAATCCACATTCTCTGCTTGAGGATAGGGAGTCTCTGGGTGATGCAAACAGTTAATGTGCTCAATTGCTATTAGAAAGCTGACGGTTATAATTCACCCAAAGTGTCTTGTAAGAAACAGCTGGCACATAACACACTACACAAAAACAATGTTGTACCTCCTACTTTGGCGAGTAGCGACTGGGATCTTAAAAGCTTGCAAACGATCTAGATGCAACGATGGATCTCTCCATGTCCACAGCAAAGATGAATAAAGACAACCAAAGACCCATGGGACCATTTAGTCCTAGTGACTGGTACACAATGCGATCCGCAGCCTATACAACTATGAGACCAGAAGAACTAGATAGTGCCCAGCAACCATTGTCAATCACTTGGAGGGGAATCTATGTAGGAGATCCTGGATAGAGAGGGAGAACAATGTGGAACAAAACTCAAAATCATTTGGGAAAAAAAAGTGGGGGGGGCATGTTTGCTGGA